CCCGGCCCGCCGAGGCGGTGGAGAACGTGCTGAAACACCTTCCAAAGCACCGCAGAGAGGAGGTCCGGGAGATGCTGCGCACCTGCATGGAGGATTACACTCCATCTGGCGTGAACCTCGAGGAATTTTTCCAGAACGGGCAGTACGAGTGCGAGGCCGCGTGCCGAGCAGGCCTGCCGCCCTGGGTGCGCCATAGTCTGGCCAAGGGGTGGCTGGCACCCTTCATCAGCAACGCCCTGGTGCTGAGGAGCGTCTTCCTCCGCACCCAGGTGGAGAACATGCGGAGAGCCAGTGCCCACAGCGCGGCTCTGCCCATCCGACGGGTCATCTACGGGCTGCTGCTGCTGCTGCCGGCCGCACCGCCATGTGCCGAAACTCCTGCTCCAAGTGAGGAGATGGGCAAGGTGCCGGTCGTATGTGAGTTTGACAGACTCCAAACGACGCTTAGAAAAACATTTGTTGAAGCAACAAGGCTGCCCACAGGTTTCTGTGATGACGGTTTTCCTTTGGGCGACTTACTGGAGGTAAACGGTTGTCACAGCTGACAGAGGCTCTCGAGTGGCACAGCCCATTGAGGACTCACGTTTACCGGCTGGTCACTAAGTGCTGTGCCTCAGTAGGTCACTGCCTGTCACAGAGGGACCTACAGACTCCGAGCTTGGCCCCTCATCCTCAAGCAGCTACATAAATTGCCTTCACCTTTTTCCCTTCCCGCCTTGCCACAAGTGCACCAACACAAACTACATGAAAAGCTGTCTGTGTGTATATGTAGCATTGCCTAAATTTTCCATTCTAAGCCCTTCTTTCATCCTGTGGATTAGGTGGCACTAATATTTACTTTTCGAATCACAAGAGGGAACTCATGTTCTGAAACAAAATCCAGTCCATGCTTTTTTACTAAAAATCACCGTCATTTCATGCATGAATCTTGCACCTGCCCAGCAGTCTTACCTGCTGCAAGGGCATGTCCCACTAAGGTGGACCCTGCGGCTTCCCAGACAGAACAGGACCTGAAAGCCAACTTGTAATCAAAGGAAAGGTGCACTAGGTTAGTTCTAGCCACCATTAGCAATTCTGTGTATTTAAATTGTAATGATTAAGACTAACTCTTGCAGTGAATAGAAAGTAACCTCCCATTTCCAAAGCTACGCTAATTTCTGAAGTGTATGGGAATACAATCTGTACTTTCTAATACTGCATATTTAAGCCACACGCTCAATCCCTTCTGGCATTCACATGAACTGTTAACACATCGGGAGGCTGTGCTGTTGGTTTTTACCACATGCTGGTGGCTATTTCATACAAGACCTCCGTCTATCCCTACTACGACCATGTATTTTATATCTGTATTTACCATACCAAAGTCGTTTTAGTGCACTCTGGTTACAAAGTTTTCCAATCAAGTCAGCTTTTACATAGGAGTTTTAGTTAAGTCACCTGATTTGAAGATTTATAGTTAGTTTCTTATCAAAAATAACTAGCTAAACACAGGCATATTTGCCTTTTGGAAACCGCTCACAGCAAATAAAGTCTCTCTTCCCTTTTCCACTCCAATTTTCTAATCTATTTTCAGGTGCCTGTGTCATGCCGTCAGATGCTTTTGCTGGAAACTCTAGGAGTGAAAATGAGTTTCCTTGAGTCTATCCCCAGACACTTACAACTCACCCTCGCTGTCACGTGTTACTGGGTACATCACTCAGAACCAAAAGTTGAGCTGCATCACTTAAAGGCTTTACTTCTGATGATAGTATCTGGAGAACTGCACGGGCCAACCAATGATCCAGGTATGTCTCCAAAGAATACAATTTCAGGTGTTCAGCTGCTATGAGAGCTTACACCACGATTCATTTTTCCTCATTTGTGGCAAGTTGTCCAAATTCAGATGAATTAGCATTGATTGCCACTGTATCCTGAGGTATCGCATTCTCTGCACTGATACAGAGCAGAGAAACAGTGCTAGCCATCAACATTTTACATAGGTAAAACAGTACTTTGCTATCTTACGAAACATTAATTTGCATTTATAAATGCTTTCTTTAGGACTAAAAGATTTAGATAGGAAAGTCAAAAAAAAAAAAGCTTAACATACTCATTCATCAAAAGAGAATAACTACTATTGATGCATTCTCACAGATTTTTTTTCTCATGGGTTTTCCTAAAATCATCTGTACTGTAAACTGACGAGTTGCACAGGCACCTGTGTATATTCATACTTGAATTTTTATTCAATTTTATGCCTTAAAGTTCAGTTTGAGACATTTGAAAATCCTGTTAATGCTTTCTGAAATGGAACTGGAGGTCTGAGACCGTATTCGTTACAGATACCTGCTGTCCTGTTCACAGCAGAACATTCACTTGCATATAATTTTTTTTTCTGTGACCTAGACCCCACAGGTTTGTGTGCTGAAGATGACAGTATTGCACATGCTGAATTTCTGAACTGGAAGGAAAAGAAGTTGCAAAGTGACGACTTTGATTTAGATGCTGCACACAGTTTTTGCCAGTGGCAGTGCTGCCTCCAGATGGGATTGTATCTCAACCAGCTGCTCTGCTCTCCTCTCCCTGAGCCAGACCTAAGCAGGTAAGGATGGCTCAGACATCCCTTTCCACACAAGCCTCTCAAGGAATGTGTTCATGTGTTATTTTATTTTCTGTGTCAAACTCCTTTGGCCAGTTTTACTGTGTTTGAACTCCCTTCTTAAAAGAGATTTAGATGGGGAAAACCACTGAGAACAGGCACCCTGTAGTAGCCCACTGCTGGATGGAGTTAAGCTCTGGTCTTTCATGGAGCAGCGTGTTTCTGTACCTGTCCTGCTGAGGTGCAGTTCTAAACGAGGATTCCCTCCTTCCTTTGAGCAGGCTTTACAGTGGGACCCTCGTGCACAGACTGGATCAAGAGCTTAAATCAACACCTTCAGTGGAAAATCTGTTTAGTTCATCTCCAAAAATAACTCAGCTTTACCAGGTCCTGATAAATATGGTGGAGTCAACAGTACCTCCAGACTTCTTTCAGAAGATGACCAAGACCAAACCTGAGTCCTGCAGAAAGAAGAAAAAAAAGTCCATCAGGCTTGCTCTATCGAAAACTCAGCATTTATGCAATGGTAATAGGTTTGCATCACTTGCAGTGGATGACTGAAAGCTTTACACCTGGAATAACTTTTAATGCCACGCAGGTGGAAGAAACTATATTACAATACGTGACTGTATTGCTCAGCTGTTTTCACGCAAGTTCCTGATTCAGTTTTACCAACAATTCCTGCTTCAGGCAGTTGTTTTTAGTTACTTTTTTTGTAACAGTTTCATAAAAGAGGAGGTGTGTAACAGTTGCGGTGTTTTGTTGTTCTTTAAAGGTATCACTCTAATTGAAAATGAGAGCAAATTGTTCAGAATTTCAGAGCTGGCCTATGTGAGAGGAATTATTTTCCTGAAAATTTATGGCTGGCTAGCCCTCCATCTCCCTGGACACTTCTGATTCCCAAGAAATCCAATGTTTTAAGTTTGTGTTTGAGGAACACGATGATTACAGTCTTACAGATCAGATTAACATGGAAGTTGAGAAGTTTAAAAATACTGTGGCATCTGTATTTACAGGTAGAGCATTTGTACTTTTGGGGAGAGCTAGCTTTACTCAGTCACTACCAAGTTGTGCTTGCAGTGCAGCTTCTGCTCCTATCCCCCCCTAAGGTAGTGCTTACGTGCTCACACAAAGCTAGCACACGGTAGCAGGTTTTACATGTTTGCTCATTCAGAGAGTCCATGCATCTTTTCTTATACTCAGGGAAATCATGATTTCCACTTTTAATACTTAAAGTTCTACCCATTACTCACTGGAATTCAAGCTTGATTCCTGCATCCTGTCCTGGCTGTCCCCTATCTGCCAGCTATCCATATGGAGCCACTACGTCTTGTGACTTACAGGGAGCATCTCTGATATCATACAGCTGAGTCTTGATACCGATAGAATATGTTCCATGAGAAACTAATAGATTTGTAACATCCATTACATTCATGAGGAAATTATTTTTGAGATGCAGTCTGTGCTGGTAATAGCCAACACTTTTTCTAGGACGAAAACTGCTACTTAGGGAAGTCCCAGCAGGTGGCACCTCTGCTCAACCAACCGTAGGGCAAGTTCCCAGCCCTTGAGAGCCCAGTCCTCCAGAGGCTTGTTTGCTGCAGTCTTACACACAGCTCCATCAGGTGACTTCGCTTACAGTGCAAGGGGTTGAATTCCAAGTTCTTGATTTTAGTATGTAAAACTTAAATCCTTAATCATCCAAATCATCCTCTGATCTATTATGATCCCACGTGCTTCATTTTACTAAGTGTGTAGTTCCTTAAGTCTTTTAATCATCAGAAATACATTTAAAGTAAGTCTTAAAGATACAGGCACGTTTGATTCCACTGTTAAGAGCAGTGAGAAGAGAGATCTTAATTTACTGAGCCCCATACTGGAAACCTGGTGGAGAACATAAATTGTTGAGACTTGCTGAGAAGCAGGATCTTCAGTTAGATAGTTCAAAAGACTGGAATAAAATCAAATATTCCACCTTCAGATAAAGCCGCTATGATCATCCCGTAGCATTTTGAGAATGCCTTCAGGAGTGCTGACTGGATGATAAAGAACTACTCTGCTGGAACTGTGTTCTCGATGCAGAATTGAGCTGTTCTTTGTTGCTGATGAAATGAAACGCACCTCATTGCAAACACCCCATCCTGTGTGCTGAAGAAAATAGTAACTTGCAGGTTCCTATGCAGAATTTAAATCAAGTGTTCCAGTTTTCCTTTTTGAGTCATTATAGTTTTTCAGTCTTCTCCATAAAACAAAGGGCCCTCACTTACTGAAACTGAAAAGTTCTTTATTCCATTCTTTAGTAAGAGCAACTAAATTTCTCAGTTGCTGCCTACTTTCACCCGCCGAGATCTCAGACATCCTCTTCTACAGATCCCCCCAGTGACTGTTCCTTGCATCTCCTAAAGGGAAGATCAGTCCCTCTCTGACAAGACACTGATGACAACAGCTCAACTCCACTTGGAGGAAAAGCGCCATCAGTGAATATTAACAGTGTTCAGACATGATCATATATTAAAAATGCTTTTAGCACATCAAGACACAAATCTATTAAAATGCTTTTCCAGCCACAAAAAGTCATTCTGTAGGTTAGAATTTTAAGTTACAGGACCAGTAATAAGTTTATTTTTATGATCAGGGTGGAAGAAGAAAGAGGAAAGAAAGCCAAACTTCTTTGAAAGAGGGGTTGGTTTGTTTTTTTACCATTAGAGTGAGTATTCGTGCATTCATTTTCTAATTCAATACACTCCAAACTGTCTCAGTAATAGTACTGTCTTACAATCGCTCGAGTGATCTAACAGGCATAAGCTAAAATAAATATGGAACAACACATGAAACAAAGCTTGTATCTAAAATTATATCCAAACAGACATGCTCATCTGGTGTAAATGCCAGTTTCTTTTAAAACAAAGAGTCAACACACTTTTAAGAAAAGCAAACATTTACTTCAAATTGCAGTATAGGCTTTTCAGTCACAGAAAAAGAAAAGAAAAACAGTGATCTGACAGCGGTCACATCCTGTGCAAAAAAAACCCAAACAAACCAAACCAAAACTCGGGATACAAAAAAACTGTAGCACAAGGTACTTGAGCCGCTTACACATTGCAGGATAAAGTAAATAAATACAGTAGCTAGAATATGGCACTCTTGTGACGGACTCTACACCCAGTGGAATGCCTCTCAAATATTTTTTTATCCTTGTATTAGTAGCAAAATCCCACCACCATAAACGTAAAATCGTACAATGTTTTAAATAAAAACAAACTAAAATATTTATATCTAAGAGAAGGATTTTACACAGTTATATCTTTTAAGTGCAGAAAATGGGACCTGGGCTTAGATCTTCCTGTAAATTAAACCCCCCCTCCCAACCCTCCCCCAATCCTGTTCAATCTCAAAAGTAAATTTATGTTTGAGGAAAAATCTTACCAAAGTTGCATAATTTCATTTGTTTTTACTCCCACAGCTGGAAGTTAAATTCTAAACAGTCTTGAAACATAAATGTTCGCCATTAGCCAGTGAAACAAAGGACTCGTCAAAAGCCCTCAGGATTTCATTATCCTCCAAATATTGTTTTCCTTTCTCCTACACCTTTAGCCAGCAATCTCTAAGTTTGCAAACAAAAGAATGCAATATGCATCATACATCAAGAAAAGACGAAGTTGACGAAGAAGAACTTCCACGTTTCTGGATCTTTTCCTTGCTTCTTTCAAACTTCTTTATGATTTCAGTCACTATGCACACAGAGGAAGTGAGTCCCAGAAGAAACAGCAAATCTGGAAAGAGAGAATCATATGCAGTTAAATCATGGCTCCCAAAGAAAACATATAAAAGGATTTTTTTTCCCTGAAAAAGAGAAAAATATAATAGGCAGCAGGCTTTGTATTCCCATTGTATGCAAACAGCCAGCGAGTGCTCTTCTAGAACCCACAGCTAACACATTTACAAACTAATCCTTGATGCACAGTTTTGCAAAGGGAACTGTTCTTACCCAAGATGCTCAGGCTCTCTGTCTGGAAAACCTTCTGAAGTGGAGGGAAGTAAATGACCAGCAACTGCCCCATGATAGAGCCAAGGACGGCGTAGCAGAACATCTTGTTACTGCAGAGTCCAATCTCAAACACAGATTTTGTCTGCAAAATAAACACATTGCACTGCACACATGATCTCCATTTCCCAGACAAGGAAATAACTCTTAGCTACAATTTCTTTTCATCCAGACTTTGAGAAAAATGCAAGAGATTATTGTTGACATTACAGATAATTCAGAAGAAGGCCTTGAACAGGCTAACTGCATTTTCTCTCTGGTAAATAGAGAACATTGACATGTACCCTGAGTTCCCTCCTAGGCATGCGCAGCGTGTTACCCGCTGCCCTCCACACTAGAAGGCAGTGGTTTTGTTCACCCAGACAATTCACGTCAGAGAACAGACTGCAAATTAGAGTAAATGTAGTAACATATACTAGCAATGCACTTTTCTCCAACTAGCACAAAAATTCAGGCTTTTTACCTCAAGACAAAAATATAGACAGTTAAAGAACAGCTGAAAAAATTTCCTTGCATTACAGTTGAAGTACGCCTTGAAGAAGTTTCAGATTCTGGCAAGGATGCTGAACTGACAGAACTTTCAGGAAAGAAACCCAGCCACGTGCACACAGCAATATAAAGGACTATCACAGTCGAGCTTTTATTAAAAATTTCCTTTCTTCTGTCAGGACAGAAGCCACTGCTACCAGCTCTGCATCACGTAAACAAATTAAGGAAGCTAATACTTACCTGTAATTTAAGAAATCCTACTTAGCAAATACATGAAACTGAAGCTTAATAGCAGATGTGAAGTAAATCTGCAGGAAAACATTTGGAACAAACATAGCAAGATCTTCCCTCAAAGAAAATTCTGCTTATTGTGTAAATGGCCAATACAGATCACTTACCTGAGATCTAGAACTCAGAGCATTGAACATATCAAAAAACACAAAGCAGGTGAAAGTCATGGTTGTATCTCGTGGTGTTATTACATTGTCTCTTAACTGCCAACAAAAGGAAAGAAAAAGGCTTTAGCATGCTTTAAGCCCTGCACAGCTAAACAAAGTTACTGCAATAATTCAGGTTCCACTAGCTGAGTAAATGAAAGCAAAAGCAACTCGTTTGCCCTAAGGTGATTTCATAAATCACCCAGGAAAAACTACACACCTGCAACTTACAACAGTCTGTAATTCCAAGCTGTGATTAAATGAAGTCTCTTGACAGACACCAATGCAAGCACATGGAATACCACAGTTTCTGTGATGCTTTACTGAAAGTTCAGACTGCATCTGACTTTACTGGGAAAACAAAGTCAACTAGCTGTTCTGGAACAGCCTGGCTAGAAGGTC